CTGTTGACCGTAAGGTGGGTGTCCATCTGGTGGATGTCCATCTCGTGGGTGGATGAGGGGCAGGAGCTGGTGAGCACTGAGCTCTACTGCGGGCCTAGGGTGGGTGCTCATGGTGAGGCTACGTATCATCTAAGCCCCCTTCCCGCCCACTCTCAGCACATGCTTGACTACCTGTGGCAGAGAAACCTTCGCCAGTTCATCTATAAGGTAGGAAGCCCTGGCCAGGCACGCCCACCCACTCCTCCTCCCCCAGTGAGCCCACGCTTACACCCCTGGACTCGCTGTCCTCCAGAGCATCATCCATAGCGCAGCACCACTGGGCGACGAGATGGCTCACCACTTGTACGTACTGCAGTCCCTTACACTGGGGTTGCTGGAGCAGCGCATGCGGACACCACTGGACCCCTACAGCCAGGTGGGTGCCTTTGGGATACAGAGGCTGGGGGCAGCCGGAGCTTGGCCTTGAATCTGTGATCGTGACCACCCCCAAATAATGACCCTCAGGAGCAGCGGGAGCAGCTGCAGGCCCTGCGCCAGGCTGCCTTTGAGCTGGAAGGGGAGTCTCCCAGTGCCGGGCTGAGTGCTGACCGGCGCCGTTCCCTCTGTGCCCGGGAGTTCCGCAAACTGGGCTTCACCGTGAGTGACCCCTGCCTCAACCCCGGGCTGCCGTTGTTCCAGAGGACTGGGGCCCTTCCTCAGCTGCCTGTCCTCGTCCCCCAGAACAGCAACCCCGCACAGGACCTGGAGCGCGTGCCCCCCGGCCTGCTGGCCCTGGACAACATGCTCTACTTCTCCAAACATGCACCCAGTGCCTACAGCCGGGTCAGTGTTGGGGTGTGGGCAGAGCGGGATGCCTGCCTATGATGGGTCCCCATGGGCTTAGCCTTGACTCCCTGCCCCTTTCTCTGCTCCTACCACCCCAGTTTGTGTTGGAGAACAGTAGTCGTGAGGACAAGCACGAGTGCCCCTTTGCCCGGAGCAGCATCCAGCTGACGGTGCTGCTGTGTGAGCTGCTCCGTGTCGGGGAGCCCTGTGAGTGGGATTGGGCACGGTGTGTCCGGGAACGGGGGACGGAAGGGCAGAGAGGGCCAGGGGCTTCACATACTTCCTCCCTGAGCCCCTCCTGCCCCCCTGCTCCAGGCTCCGAAACAGCCCAGGACTTTTCACCCATGTTCTTCAGCCAAGACCAGAGCTTCCATGAGCTCTTCTGTGTGAGCATTCAGCTTCTGAATAAGACCTGGAAGGAGATGCGGGCCACACAGGAGGACTTTGACAAGGTGGGTGGGTGGGAGCTGGAGACCTGGGGCAGGGCAGGGGGCTATGCAGGGTAGGGGTCCAGAGCTCAGACCCTGAACTGAGCCTGGGGTGGCTCCAGGTCATGCAAGTGGTCCGGGAGCAGCTGGCCCGCACACTGGCCCTAAAGCCCAGCTCCCTGGAGCTCTTCCGAACCAAGGTGAACGCGCTCACTTACGCGGAGGTGCTGCGACTGCGCCAGACTGAGCGGCTGCATCAGGAGGTCACGCTCGCCCCTCCCATACTGTGAGTTGGTGGGGATGGGTCCCAGTCCTAGCCCCCCCTTTCCCTGGTACCCCATGGGCCTGTCCCAGGTCAGTTTTGGTCAGCAAACCCCCTCCCCCAACCCAGGGAGCTTCGGGAGAAGCTGAAGCCAGAGCTCATGGGCCTGATCCGCCAGCAGCGTCTGCTCCGCCTCTGCGAGGGCACACTCTTCCGCAAGATCAGCAGCCGGAGACGCCAGGGTTGTTGAGGGGGCAGGGGGCAGAGAGGGTCTGGCCTGGGTCAGGGCCCCTCTGCTCACTCCTTCCCTCTTCCCCTTGCTGCCCATAGACAAGCTGTGGTTCTGCTGCCTGTCCCCCAACCACAAAGTGCTGCAGTATGGGGACGTGGAGGACGGTGCCAGTCCACCTGCCCCCGAGAGCCTCCCAGAACAGCGTAAGGAGGGCAGGGACAGGGACAGGACACCTGCTCCCCCAGACCTCCCCATGCCCCGGGACGCCTGGGGCCCCGGTGGTCAACCCAGTCTTCTTCCCGCAGTCCCAGTGGCTGACCTCAGGGCACTACTGACCGGCAAGGACTGCCCCCACGTCCGGGAGAAAGGCTCATTGAAGCAGAACAAGGTGAGGGCAGGGGGGCCTGGGCTCCTTCCCATTTGCCGTGCCCTGCCCCCTGCTCAGTGCTCATGGTTCCCTTCCTCCCCAGGACCTCTGTGAGTTAGCTTTCTCAGTCAGCTATGACCACGGGGAGGAGGAGGCGTACCTCAACTTCATCGCCCCCTCCAAACAGGAGGTGAGTGTCTGGGCAGGCTGAGCTGAATTGGGCAGATGGGCAGGGGAAGAGACTGGCAGGTCCTCATGGAGCCGTCCCCGCCCCCAGTTCCACCTGTGGACAGATGGGCTGAGCACCCTGCTGGGCAGTCCCATGGGCAGTGAGCAGACACGGCTGGACTTGGAGCAGCTGCTGACCATGGAGACCAAGCTGCGCTTGTTGGAGCTGGAGAACGTGCCCATCCCTGAGCAGCCACCCCCCATCCCCCCGCCCCCCACCAACTTCAACTTCTGCTATGACTGCAGTGTCACTGAACCTTGACAGGTTGGCCGAGGGCCACAGCTGCTGCCACTGTGGTGGCCGTGAAGGGTGGAGTGTGCAGCAGTGCAGACACCCCGGCCAGCAGAGGCTGCAGCAGGAATAAAGTCTGCTTGGCTCCTGGGTATGTGTCGAGCCAGCTGTGAACCCTGTGGGCCAAGCCTGCCTTCAAACTCGGTTGGTGCAGGAGATGTGGGCATCAGGCCAGGGCCACAGCTTGGGGCCACGGACCTGGGCAGCTACAGTTGAGGGGCTTGTCCTTCCTCAGGATGAGTCCTCAGCCTTCCTCAGTGCTGGGCCTGCAGACAGGGATGGCCTGTGTTTGGGAGGCACCAACTAAGAGAGTGCTGGTGCTACCAGCCAGGTGAGCGGGGAGGCACGGCCCCAAGTGGAGGCCTTCCTGGGCAGCATTAACAGGGGCCTAACGTGGGAGCCGTGTTTCCAGAGGCCTCTGAGAGTCTGAGCTCAGTCCTGAACCTTGCTTGGCTGCCCCGTGTCCTTTGTGGGACTTGGAGAACCTCTGGTGGGAGCAGGACAGGAGAGATGTGAAGCTGGGCCTGCCTTGTGTTGAAAGGCAGGTGTAAGATTCCAGAAGACATCCCCCAGTGGTGGGAGGATATTCTGACAAGAGGGAGTTCAGTGCAGGAAGCCTGCATTCTGATTAAAACCTACTGCAGGAGGGTGGGATGGGCACAGGAAGGCCAGAGCTCCTGGGATCAGAGGTGGCTGGGGGATTGGGCCCAGCTGGAGGTCACGCCCAGAGGCTCTGGTCATGGACCTCAAGCCTCTGAGGCCACTTCTCCCAGTGGTGGGAGGATATTCTGACAAGAGGGAGTTCAGTGCAGGAAGCCTGCATTCTGATTAAAACCTACTGCAGGAGGGTGGGATGGGCACAGGAAGGCCAGAGCTCCTGGGATCAGAGGTGGCTGGGGGATTGGGCCCAGCTGGAGGTCACGCCCAGAGGCTCTGGTCATGGACCTCAAGCCTCTGAGGCCAAGAGGAGCACCCCTGCCCACAGGACAGCCTGAAAGCTTCACCATCCACTGACCTCCTTTTCCACTCTTGCTACCTCTTCCCCGGCAACTCCTCAAATGTCTTTTTAAACAATGTTAACCTTCAACATGTTGCCTTGAAAAGTGATGAAATGACATCTCCTTTGGAGAATGTACTGAGCTTTCCCTCCCCCAGCTATGCTTCTGACTCAGGCACCCGGAGACTTCCCACCACATTTGGAATAACTGCTGTTTAGTTCAAGGTGGAAGTAGGGGTGGGGATCCCAGATGCTGTTAAGTCTCCCAGTACTCCTTGTCTGGTGGTCCTTTGTGCAGGCCACCATCATCTTGCCAAGAACCTCCTGGTTTCCTGTCTCCAGTCTTCTCAATACCAGCTACCCGAGCTGTTCTAGCAAACATGAAGCTGATCTGATCACACACACTACCCCCATCCTGTATTCGTCAGTGTCTCCCTATTGTCCAGGGGGTAATGGTCATGGTACCATGATGGGCAGAGTAGAGATGGGTTGCAGACATGTATGTGGTTTAGGCCCTGTGCAGGGTTCCCGGTGCTTGGCCCCTGCTGGCATCCTCCCTGCACCCTGTTGGGGCCTAGACACACCCCACCCCAGTGTCAGCTCTGGCCTGCCATATGCACCCCCCAGGCCCTTCTGCCTGATTGCCCCTTCTCTCGCTTCTCATTTTTTCTGCCTTGAGTCCTTCCTTGACCTCCCAGGCTAAGCTCAGCGTGACTCCCCTGGGTCCCCAGTCCCAGGTGCTGTTGCTCTGTTTGTGCACATGGCTGTCCCCGCCTGTTGGCTGATTTGCTTCTCCAACTGCCCTGGCGGCTGGGAGAGCTTCACCACCTCTGAATCCCCACAAAAAGCAGGCACTCAGGCAGCCCAGTTGGCTGCTCCTAGAACTGATGGACAGATGGACAAAGTGGAGGTGGACGTACGGAGGGCCCGGCAGACTTTCTAAGAGCTGCTGTTGAGAATTCCCTGGCACTGTTTAAGAGGTTGGACTAGATGACCTCTAAGGACCCTTCCTACCCAGCGAGGCTATTCGCTATCCTCTTTCTTGCGTCCCTGCCCGCCCTCTCCCCCTCACCCCCGAAGACCACCTCATTGACTCTGGCATCGTTGATCAGTATGTTCCTGGGGGCTGGCTGGGCCCAGTGCACACAGATGTGCCTTTGCTACAGGACCTGCCTGGGAGCTCATGCTGGGAGAGGCCTCCAGACTTTTGGAACCTCCCACCATATGGGGAAGCTGGGACCTGCTAGGGGCTCCTATGGGGCTTTGGGCCACACCCGAGGAAGTTGTCTGGTGTTTCCTCCCTTGTCCCTGGACCGGGCAGGGCTGCTTCAACTGAGGTGGGGAGGGGAGAGAACTTCAGATCAAGAGGTAGAGTCTGGAATTTTTAATCTTGTTTGGGTTTACAACAAAGATAAGGCTTGGCTGCTAAAGTTCAGCACTGGTAGGGGACTGGGAACTACTAGAATAGGGAACAAGGTAGGGCACAGGCCTTGGATGGAAGTAGGCAGAGCAAGAGGGGGGTCTGCTCCGCTCCAGCATCCGACCCAGCCACCTATGGGCCTGGGGCTTCCAGACCCAGGCCTGGCCAGGAGGTCAGGAGCTGGCATTTCCAGGGGCCTCATGTAGCTGGCAAGCCTCTGCCAGGCTGTGGGGCAGACTGGGGTAGGAAGCACTCCAGACTGCCCTGGATTAGCCCCACCTCCAGTCCTTGCGAAGGTGTTTATAGCTTAGGGAAGGGGCCCTGGGGTCTGTAGCAGAGGGGAACAGGAGGCACTGAGTCAAACTCCAGGTTAAGAAGCCAGGGCCAGGGCCAGGAGGCTGAGCCACAGGGCCGCTTACTGACCTGGCCTCAGAGTGTTAGGGTCAGGTCAGCCCCTCCCACGAAGCGGGACTGGATGCAGATCACCTCGGGCAGTTGGGCTTGGAATTGCCTGACAGCAGCTATGCTAATACCAGGGCACATGGCGACATCTAACATCTGGATCTGCTTGCACGCCTGCCCAATGGTGTCCAGCGTTCTGCAGGAAGGCCCCGGTGTGAGTGCCTGACCCGAGGCTGGTCCCAGCCCAGCCCAGCCCCTGCACTGGCATTGTTGGACACTCACTGCTCTGTGAGCCGACTGCAGCTGGACAGGTTGAGGTGCTGCAGCCTCGGCCAGGAGCTGGCTGCCTGGGCCCAGCCCTCGTCACTGAGGAGGCTGCAGTGACTCAGCGCCAGGCGCTCCAGGCTAGGGCAGCCCCTGGCCACAGCCACCAAGCCGTTATCTGTGAGTGCTGGCAGCAGGCTCAGTGACAACTGCCTCAGCTGGGGGAACTGGAGCACCTGCAAGGATGGAGGATGTGGGGCTGGGGTGTAGTATGGCACTGGAGCCAAGGGCCAGGGGCTCTTCTAGGTTCCCCACCCCCAGCAAAAGGAGGGGCCATACACAGCAGAAGCCAACAAGAAAGGAACTTTTTCTAAGCAAAAAGGGGGTGGTCCCAGGCCCCTGGCTCCAACCCCAGATCCTCAGCCTATCCACACCCCTAGTCCCACACCTGTGCCAAACTGGCATCAGTCAGCTTGCTGCAGGCTGTGAGGTCCAACTCCTGCAGGGCCTGCAGCATGAGCAGGGAGGGGCCCTGTGGCTGGGGAGAAGGGTCCATGGGGCCTGAGGCCTGATACTCCAGCTCTCCGTGTGGCTGTGGGAAGAGACCCCTGCTTCTCAGTTCCTCCTGAGTTTGGCCCTCAAATGCTCCTAGAGCGAGACTCAGGAGGGCAGGCGAGCCCAGGGACCACCCACCCTTCATGACCTTGAGGGTCCCACACCTGGGCTTTCTGTGCTGGCTCCTCACTGGGTTCCCCCAGCCCCAGAAGCCCCCAGTCACGAAGCTCCTTGCACCAGGCCAGGCGCAGGACTGAGAGGGGAGTGAGGTAGGTGCAGATGGCCTGCAGGGTCCGGTTGGTGAGGGCCACACAAGAGGATAAGTCTAGCACTCTGAGACTCGGTCCCAGCGCTGGGATCAGGGAGAGCACTGAGGTGTCCTAGGAGGAAAGTGGAGAAGGGAGAGAGTAATGGAAAGATGGCAAGGGTCACTTAGAAGGTTCTGTCCAAGGTTCTGGCCCAACAGGCAATAAGGAGCTAGCAGAGGGCCCACGGAGGGAGGCGATGATGTCCCTGTGCTGGTAAAGGTTGGAGTGGACATGGGGAGCCATGGGGCTAGGACACCAGGAGGAGTTTGCTGGAGGATAGCGCTTGGCTGGGGCAGGAAAGATGCTGGTAGAAATGTCTCAGGTATCTGCCCTGACTGTGCTCCCAGTCCCTGCTGAAGGGGTGGGCTGAGGCTGCCCTCTGACCACAGCTTATTGGACTAGTGGTGGACATCTGACCCAATCAGATATGCTCCCTCTAGAATCTAGATTCTAGAGTCTAGATTGTGAAGCAAAACTGTGAGGTCACAGTGGGCACAGGGCTGCTACCTGGCAGAAGCAGTCATGGTGGGGTGAGTGGGAGCTAAGGGCGGAGTAGAATAAACTGGTTTGTAGAGAGATACAGAGACACAAGAATGTGAGGCTCCAGTGTACAGCTAAGAGACAACAGTGGTAAAAGGAAGATGGAGGGGGGCAGGGGAAGAGAAGTGCTGTGGGGAAAAGGTTAAGAGGCAGTTTTCAGGTTGGGAATACCCTGGTCACATGGATAGATTGAAGGAATAACCCACTAAACAAGACTGCCATTGCCAAGACAGGGACGCCACCCAGAGGGACAGGGCTGAGCCCTATTGAAGAGACTGGCTTCAGACAGAAAGTGACTCTGCTGCCCCCACATCACATTACCCTCCTCAGGCCCTGCCTGAGAAGCCTCTTCTGTGTAACCTCGGTGCCCCTCCCCACAGGGCTCAGTTCTGTCACCTCCTCCTCCAGCCTTCCTAGCCTCTGGAACACCTGCTTTTAGTGCCTCCGACTGCAGTGGTCACTGAGCACTTGGCATGCCCAGTGGATGCCACCTCCTGGGCTGGGCCTCCCTTTACCTGAGCCCACAGTGGGAGCTGCCAGGAGGGTGCTGGTGGCCGCACAGCCACACTGTCTTGTCTAGGCCCCCTTTCCCCTTCCAGAATGTGTTCCAAGTTCAGTTCTAACTACTTGGACACAAACACCGGGCAGTTTCTCCCTCGTGCCACACCTCCGCTTCTCCCAGCCCTGGCCCTGGGGAGGAAGGAAGGGGTGGTGGCTCACCTTGAGTGAGGAGCAGTAGGCCAGGCTGAGAGAGGCCAGTGGCGGTGGAGCTCTGCGCACTGAGCCCAGAGCCTGGGCCAATACCCGCCCGCTCACTAGGCAGCACTCAGCCATGTCCAGGCTCTGCAGCTTCCGCAGGCCCCCAAGGGCTGTGCATCCCGCATCCGTCAGCCGCTGCAGCTTCCTTAGGCTCAGGCGCTGCAGGTGCCGCAGGCCCCGGCTCACAGCCAACAGTGCCCTGTCGGCCAATTCTGAGCAGCCGCTGAGGTCCAGGGAGGTAAGGCCTGGCTGCTGGCGGCAAAGGGCAGCCACAGCCTCTGTGGAGAGGTCCTGGCAGCTGTGCAGGCTCAGCTCCTGCAGCTGCAGCCCGGCCACCTGGCCCAGGGCCTGCAGGGCCTCGGGTGGCAAGCCAGTGCCACTCAGGTCCAGGGCGCGCAGCCTAGCAGCCCGCTCCTTCACGAACCGCAGCAGGTTGTGGAAGGAAAGTTGGGATTGGGAGGAGTCCTGGGGGTTGATGGAGCCCCAGGCTGGGCCTAGCTCGAAGGTGAGGTGACAGTAGGCCAAGGAGAGGCGCTCTAGGCTGGGGGTGCAGCTGCTTAGCCTGTTGAAGCTGAGGTCGGCCAGGTCTCGCAGGCCAGCCAAGTTGAGCTCGCGGAGGCCGCTCAGTGCCTGCCGGACCTGCTGTGCTGTTTCGGGTTGAGCTAGCAGTGTGCCTGATGCAAAGAGGCTGTTGCAGCCACTGAGGTCAAGGCTACGCAGGGCCGGACAGCCCAGGATCAGGGCCACAAAGGAGGCCTCTGTGGGGCTGCCCCCACCGAGGCACAAGCTCTGCAGGTGAGGGCCCAGGTGGTAGGCAATAGACTGCAGCACCTGGTGTGAAGCTGGTGAGCCATCCAGGTTGGTCAGGCCGATGCAGGAGACGCCCCTGAGGCCCAGGCTCTTGATGGTTGGGAGAGAGGCCGAGGACACAGGGATATTGTACCGCACATTTCTCTAAAGGGCAGCAGCAGACTTGGTTAGCCCTCTGACCTCAGAGGGTGCTGGGCATCAGATCTGGTGGCAAGTTGCTGGTTAGAGGTTCAGGTCAGGGAAGGACCCTTCTACACAGGGGGCCCACTATGGTATGAAATGTCATGTGTGGTTGAGGGGTGCTGGTGGGAAGTGAGAGCTGGAGGACAAGTCACACTGGGGCCCAAGGGGATTGATGACTAAGGGGAGGGCAGGAGATTAGTGATGGATGGGTCTAAATGCCTATGGAGTCCTGTGAGGAGTGGGGAGTTGGCATGCAGGGTACAGGAGGGGTAGGGGATGGCCTGGAGGAGGTCCAGGGAGCAGGAGGACCCCAACCTTTGGGACTTGCAGAAGGTGGCCCTGAGACCCATGGACTCAGCTGCTGCTATTAGCTAATAAGCAACCAGCCTCCGCTACTTTCTTAAGAGCATATAAATAGCCCTCAGATCAGCTGAAGGCGGGAAGAAGCGAGGCAGGTGTCACTCACCACAACCCGCTGTGGCCCAGATGCCAGAGATCTGGGGCAGGCAGTGAGGCTGAGGCCCCCTGGCGGCTTCAGTGTCTCAGCCACATGTTTGCAAAAATGGGTTTTGTGTGTAAGTGAAAATGTGTGCATGCATGCATGTGTGTACGTGCACACACTAACTCGTGTGAGCTCCACAGGCTCCAGAGTTTGAGAGTGCTTGTGATTCCCGAGGATCTTCTCTAGAGGGTCCGTCTTATCCAGGTAAGGAAGGAGAGCCTCCATTTCTGGGGGCAGGAACCAAGAGAATGAATCTTTGCCCAGCCGGTGTGGCTCAGTGGTTGAGCATCAACCTATGAATTCCCGGTCAGGGCACATGCCCCGGTTGCTGGCTTGGACCCCAGTGTAGGGCGGGCAGGAGGCAGCCAATCAATGAGTCTTTCTCATCATTGATGTTTCTACCTCCCTCTCCCTCTCCCTTCCTTTCTGAAATGAATGAATGAATCTCAGGGGCGCTGAGGCAGTTGAGCTGGCCCTGCCTTGGAGGAACAGGTGAGCGAGAGTGGGGAGCAGACAGCTGAAGCGGGGGAGGCAGGAGGCCAGCTCAGGGCTAAGTCATTGTGGCAATAAGCTGGCTTGTGTAGGAGCTTGGGGAGCCCCCAGCTAACGAGGTGTTTCACAAAACCTTCCCTGACCTTGTGCCAGAGGGAGCTAAAGTGCAGTGGGTACAGGTCTTTGTGGAACAGGTCTGTGGCAGAGGGAGAAGGTTTGGCTTCTAAAATCCTGGCTCTGTTCCTCTACCTGAGGATGCCCAGGTTGCAGGCAAGTGGTACTCAGAGAGGCTCTTGTCTTAATGTATCAACAGGATCCTGATGCAGGAAAGCAAGCTCCCTGGAAAACTGCCCTGTCAGCAACTGTAGAACCCACATTCCCTGCGGTGCCCCACAGAACAGCAAAGAGCAGAAAGGTAGACATGGCATATAACGTGCACTCCTGTAAGATATCTGTCCACAGGCTCCTCCCAGGAAGACACATGAAACTCAGCCCCAGGTGCGGAGAAACCAGCCTGACTTCTGCCAGAGAGAAGCAGTCATCTATGGCTACCGTGGTGTCATCATGGGGAGGAGTGGGTGGTAAGTGATGGGGACCAGCTCCTGGCTGCTTCCACAGGGATTGGGGGGTCAAACCAGGTTTCCTTTCCACACCCCCTCCCCTGAGCGAGGTACAGCAGGCCTCCTGCCATTTCCACGCCCTGCGTGCCAGATGAGCCAGTCTGATGATGCATGGAGTGAACTGTGGCTGGGGGAGTGCAGAGCCTGCTGGTTACCCAGGCAGCACCCGCCCCCTCGGCTACCCCCGCAGGCCCCAGCTCCTTCTGCCTTCAGTTTTCCTTCTTTCCCTTCCTTCCTGAGCCCGGGGCTGTGGTGTGTGTGTGTGTGGGGTGTGGGGTGTGATGGGGGTGGGGAAAGGTGGGGGGAAGGTGTGGAATGTTCTCCTCTCTCCCACTGCCTCCCTATAAACAAGGTAGACAAACAGTGAAGGAAGGCACTGGCAGTCAGCCCGGGGTCCAAGTTCAAGGCTGGTGACAGTGAAAGCCACTGGATAAAGGGGCAGGGCCTGGCCTAAAGGACTTCCAGCTCAACTGCCTCCCTGCTCTCCACCATTTTTCTTGTTGGGGAGGGGGCAGCCTCTAAGTCATCACCTGGTGGTGTAGCCTGGATTCCAAGTGCAGGAGCCCAGGAGCAGCCTTTTAGGAATATGTATCACCTGTGGGGGGCAGAGCAGCAGGCTCCTAGGTCCCTGTGTTTGGTCCTGGTATAGCAAAGCCCCCTCCCCAGGCCCTAGAGGAAGATGCTTCTAGAGCAGTGGTTCTCAACCTTCCTAATGCCGTGACCCTTTAATACAGTTCCTCATGTTGTGGTGACCCCCAATTTCATTGTTACAAATTGAACATAATTAAAGCATAGTGATTAATCACAAAACAATATGTAATTATATATGTGTTTTCCGATGGTCTTAGGCGATCCCTGTGAAAGGGTCGTTCAACCCCCAAAGGGGTCACGACCCACAGGTTGAGAACCGCTGTTCTAGAGGCTCAAGGAAGGACTATAAGGGTACCTACTCCAGATTTAGCCGCCCTATCCACAGAGGGGCCAGCTAGCCCATGGTCTCCTCCTTTCAAAATGCTGGTGTCTTCAGAGTAAATGCAAAGTCCTTTGGGAAATGCCCTACACCTGCTAAAAGTGACACATGTCCTTTGACTGTGAGAGGCCAGGATTTCGTTGTACCTACTGAAGCCCGAGCTGAGGCTCCAGGCCTCTGTGTGCAGACTTGGAGAGCCACCTGATGGAGGAACGGCCCTCTGCCTGCTGGTACAGAAGCCCAAAGCGAACACACCTGTTCTCTAGGAGGCCTTGGGGGAAACAGGCTCTGGAACTCAGGGGTTTTGGTGTTTAGAGAGGAGTTAGATCTCCAGGTGAAGGCAGAGGAGGGCAGAAGCTGAAATGTCCCAAGTTCTTCACAGTGACCAACCCAGCAGCAGGCAACTAGCCTCCAGCCCCCACCCCTGGGAACAGGCAGAGCCTGGGTGTATGTCGGGGGGCTGCTTTGTCTACTTTCTTATTTGAGAAAAATTGGGAGTAAATGGTGCAGGTCAGGGAAAATAAGAAGCCACTGAGTCCAGCATCCTAGCCTGGCCTGGTGAGCCATGGGCCCTACAGTGGCCTTGGGAAGCCGGAACCTTCCATAGCATCTACTAGCTGGGCACTGCCTCCTTATCATCCTGCCCGGAAATCCAACTACCAACTAGATTTTTCCATCCAGATGTCTCAGACTTCAAGTTTTAAACAGGTCCAAATCAAATTCCTTCAGACAGTAAGCTCAATGACACTGGATAGGTAACTCGGCAACAGGCCCTCCACATTTAATATGTGACAAATGCGGATTCTAATCCAGCAGGGAAGGGGAAGGGAGGATTATACATAAATGGTATTTGGGCTAATTGAAAACTAATCAGTTTAGCTTCTATCTCATAGCATAAATCAAAATAATTTCACTGATAGAAACAATATAAAGATTCACGCTGTAAAACAGAAGAAGCAATTTTGCTGTGAGCAAAAAGAAAGTCTAATAAAAAAAAAACAAGAAAACACGAGTGTACATTTACCAAATCTCTGAAGAGGCAAGGGATCCCTAAGTTTAAAAAGCAATGGAAGAGCCACCGGTGTGGCTCAGTTGGTTGAGCATTGTTCCATGCACCAAAAGGTTGCCAGTTCTATTCCCAGTCAGGGCACACACCCTGGTTGCGGGTTTAACAGGAGGCAACAGATCAATGTTTCTCTCTCTCTCTTTTCCTCCCCTCCCTCCCCCTCTCTCTCTAAAAATCACTAAAAACATGTTAAAATAAAAAGCAATGGAAGAAATAAAAAAAGGATGTTCAAAATCAACAACATAGAAGTTTAATCTCTGTATCTCATAAATATACACATATCTACAAATAAAATTAAAAGGCAAACATACTAGGAATATATTTCAATAAATATGTAAAAGATTAAGCTCTTTAATATATAAAAATTGTATACAAATAGATAAGAAGAATACTGACACCGCAATAATTAAATGGATAAAGAACATGAATAAACAAAAGAGGGAAATATAAATGGTCAACTAATGAGAAAACTATTCAACCTCAGTAATAAGTAAAAACTAAAACAAGGAGTTACCATTGCTTGCCTTTCAAACTCGGACCGATGTCTGCACTCACCTCCAAGCTGGGCTGTCTCCCTATTCTCTGCCTCCCCCTCTCCAGCCCACTCCGCACTGCAGAATTCTAAGAAACAAATCACCCTGTGTCACTCCCCAGCCTTAACATTCCTTTAAAGGCTCCAGGATGGTAACCAGGAGAAAACCCCAGCAATGCCACCTGGCACATCTACCAGCTTGTATGTAGCCTGACCCCTTTCTAACCTTATCGCTTACCACTTGTCCTACACACATCTACGCTCGTAACTGGGAACTTCTGGTTGTTTCCAGAACTATTTCACACCTTGTGCCTTCACCTGTGTTGCTACCAACCTTCATCCTCATCCTATTCCTTCAGGAAGCCCTCCCGAAGCTGCTGGTCTCCTTTGGATGTCCTTCCTCATGTTTCCGGTGCACCCTTCATCCCAATGTCACAGCACTGAGCACAGATGTTATGATCACTTGTCTTTCTCCTCCACTGGACTATGGGCTCCTCGGGGGAGGGGCTATGCCTTATTCATCAGTAGAGTCCCAGAGCCAAGTATGTACGCACATAATGTATGTATGAATATGTAGGATGAATACATGGATGGACGATGTATGAGCAGGGCCATGAGCAAGCTGACGTGAGAGACAACTGAGAAAGGGCCAGGTGAGGGTGGGCACCTTACCTCCCGAAGGGCATTCTGGGCTGCGTAGTACCAAGCCCGACTCACGAGGGAGGCCTCTTTCTGATCTGACAGAGGCAGGAAGCTCAGAATATATGTGAGCATCTGAGGGGAAAAGAGAGGGCATTGGGGCTGTTAGAGCTGGGGGCCTGGGGAACTTTCTCTGGCTGATAGCACAGCAGGGCTGAGGGGATGAGATCACTGGCTTCTACTTTATCTTGAATCCTAAGCTTCAGAGAGTCCTCATGTCCCATCTCTACCTCCCAAGTATCTTTGCCGTGAATGAACCTTTACTTTGTCTGGATACAGGATTGTACAGACTGATAAAAATCAAACTTCCTGCTCAGTTCCGTCATAAGAGCCTGGGCATTGGAACCAGATCAATCTAATTCAAATCCTTACTCTATCAACTGACCTCTCTGAGCCTTGTTGTTCTTATCTGCAAAATGGCAGTGGTATGAGGTTTAATATATATTGTGAGAATTAAATAACATATCTTGCATAGGATCTACAACATAGCAAGTCAGGTGCTCCTCTGATTTCCAGGGAGGTATACGCCTTCCTCCTGCCCTCGTAGATCAGGCTCTGGGAACACACTCTTTCCCCGTCTTCTCCACTGCCAACCTGCCTTCTCAGCTGCTAAGAAATGATCCCAGCAAGACCCAGCTCAGGAGGCTCAGGCCCTCGCTGCGCTTATGCTCTATGAGGCTGGTGGGAGGGGTGGCAGAGGTTGGAAGCCCTATTATAGGGAACTGTAAAGGGAGTTGGCTGTGAGGCCAGGAATGATCTGATGTTAACTCTTCTTGTCTTCTGGAATCTTCCTTCCTTGACTCCTATGACACTCTGTTTTCTAGGGCTCCACTCACCACTCCAATTGCCCTGTCTCTGGATCTTCAGTGGTTCCCAGGGCTCAGACCTGGGTCTTTCCATCTGTTTACTTTCTAGTAAACACTTGCATGGCTTCGACAGTTACCTCTATAGGAATAACCCACAATTCAATATCCTCATGTTACCTTGTTCATGACCAGTGTTGCCAACTGTCCACAGAAGCCTTCACCCAAATATTTTTACTATCACCTTCATCTCAACCAGAATTCATATTCTGCCCTCAGTCCAAAGCAGTCCCATCTCCCAACTTTCCAGCACCTGAGCTGGAAATGCCAACCGTGCAACTCCTCTGAAGATCTTGATAATACTTTGTACTTGTCATACTCAGACACAGATGTCAAGCATAGGCTTTAGGCCAGGCTAACTTAGACTCATTTAAACCCCAATTCCACTACTTCCTAGAATGGGGATATTAGAAAACATATGTCATAGTCTGCCCTAGCCGGTTTGGCTCAGTGGATAGAGCGTCGGCCTGCGGACTGAAGGGTCCCAGATTCGATTCCGGTCAAGGGCACATGCCCAAGTTGCGGGCTCGATCCCCAGTAGGTGCAGGAGGCAGCCAATCGATGATTCTCTCTCATCATTGATGTTTCTATCTCTCTTTCCCTCTCCCTTCCTCTCTGAAATCAATAAAACATATGTCAAGGAAGGGCATTCTTTCCTAGAATGCCCTTCCTTGAGCTTGACCTCATCAGCCCATTCCGATCTCCTCTCATTCCTAGCACACAGAAGGTGCTCAGCCAACACTCACTGGATTGAATTAAGGATGGATAGTCCTCTACCTCTATTTTCACCAAATGTTTGCTCAGGGTGGGGCGATAAAGCAGATCAATTATTGAGAGAATGACTGGGGAGGAGGCTAGATGCAGGAAAGAAAACACTGATGGGGACTGGGAATGACCAAGCCTCCAACCCCCAGAGAAGGCAGATATCTCCTCCGAGCTGAGATAAGATAGTGGCCATTCCACCTTCTGGGGCTCAGCAGCCAACCCAAGGGTCAATGAATAGTAGAGGGCAAAACCCCTGTCCTCACGGAGGGGATTCTTTGAGCTGGGAAGGGGAGTGGCTTTCCTAGAGACCAGAGCAGGCAGTGATAAGGGTGGATGGCCATCCCAGGAACCCCATCCCAAGAGGCATGACTGGTCATTCCTGGGACCTATGTGGGTGAAATGGATAACCTCTGGGGCCAAAGGGGGACAAGAAGCCACGGCAGGGGGCTCAGTGGGGTGGGAGCAGTCCTATTTTTGCTAAGGAGAAGGAGAGCCATTCCAGGGCTGATGGGGAAAAGGTGTCTAATCTCCCGGAGGCATTGAAAGGGCGGCCAACTCTCAGGGCAAAAAGGACGGAGGAGTCATCCCAGAGTCCCCTGGGGACAAAAGCTGTGACCTGCTCTCGATAATGGCGGCAGAGGGGTCTTGCTTCAGGCTAAGGAGGAGGGGCAAACATCCCTTGGGGCCCAGGAGGTAGGGGCGGCGGCCATCGCTGGAGGCGGAGGGAAGGGGGAGCAGGCCGGTCTTCGGGGACGGAACTCAGCGACCCTGCCCGGAGTTGATGGGGAAGGCAGTCTCTCGCCGCCAGAGGCAGGGGAAAGCCATCTCTCGGGGTGGAGGGAATGAGCCGATCATCCCAAGGGACCAATGGAATGAGATCGGTTACCCTTCGGGGACGATGGGATGGAGCAGATACCTTCCAGAACTGAGGGGGAGGGGCGGCCATCTCAAGAGAAGGTGGGCAGGCAGAGGCCCCGTTCTCTCTGAGGTGACAGAACAGCCATCTCCGGGGGCCGATGGGGAAGAAGAGGATGTCCCCCAACTAAGGGGACGGAGTAGCCTAACGGTGGGGCCGTTACCCATCGCTTGCAAGTCCTCTCAGCTACCGGACGGTTCATTTCCGCCCGGGCAGCGGGACTCGGCGAGCGGTCTGACAGCCCCTCCCCACAGCCCGGGACCCTGAGGGCGGGGCCTGGCCCGAGCTGGACCTGAGGGCGGCCTCCTCTCACCTCCAGGGGCAGCGACTCCGCCATCGCATCCCCGCCGCCTCCGCCCCCGCGCAAGGCATCTGGGAAGTGTAGTCTCACGGGCCCTGGGGGGCGGGGCTAGGAAAGGAAGTGGCCCACTCACTTCCGTCCCAGTTGTGACGATTTGGGTCTGCACCGGAAGTGCCTGTGCTGCCGATGTGGGACTTGGTGATTGCGGTTTCATTCGCTATTCCTTGTTCCCCCGGCTGGGTATTTGCGTCGCACCATGGCGGTAAGGAGAGCGGGTAGGGCGGGGTCCGCATCGGCAAAGCGCTCCCAGGGCCTGGGAGACTGAAAGCAGAGGAAGGACATCAAGAGAAGCGGGTCGGCCAGAGGGGGCGCCATTCAGTGGCCGGGCCGTACTAGATGCACGGGGGTGGAAGGGAGCGGCGCTGGACCGTACCAGAACGGGTGCCGGAGTGGGGGTGGGCGTCCGTATCACATAGTAACCGGAATTGGCTGAAGATCTGAGGGGCCAGAAGGGTGTGGGCGTCAGCCGAGATCTTGCCCACTCCAGCGGAGGCCGGAGAGGGGCGCTGTTCAACGCCACTCAGGAATTCCCCGTGGCGGGGTCATCAGCCCAGAGCCGTAGCTTACCAGGGAAGCCAGGCGGTATCAGCCTAGTGTTGTATTGTCCGAGGGTGTGCAGGAGGCGATCATTGCTGAGGTTGTTGGAAGGGTGGTTTCTGCCTTAAGCAGGATTGCCTGGAGGAGGGGTAGGCACCCCAAGGATTGTGCCAGGTTTGAGCACCAACGGGAACTGGCTGAGGTGCACCTGGGACTCTGTAGCTAACCAGGCTGGTGGGGAGGGGGAAGAGGACCCTGCTGAGGAGGGCGCTGACAGGCCTCTCACCATTCTTCTGCAGCCCAAGGGCAAAGTGGGGACAAGAGGGAAGAAGCAGATATTCGAAGAGAACAGAGAGACCCTGAAGTTCTACCTGCGGATCATACTGGGGGCCAATGTGAGTGCCTGGCTCTTATTTCTGTGTCCGCCCAAGGTCCCAGAGTCCTCAGTTCTGGGTGGTGGGGGCTGCTGCGGTGGTGGTGGTGGTATGTGAGTCAAGGCTTTAGAAGAAAATTCCAGAAATCAATCAATCAATCAATCGGTCCTGTACAGAGGAAATGTTGAGTAGTCAAAACAAAACAACAAAATGAGATGGACTCGAGAGCCTTGACCACTCCAAATACAGAGGCTTCTTTCTTAGGCTGATGTGTCAGAGGGTAGTCTGGGTACTCAGACCTCTGTTTCCCCCATCCCATATGAAACAACCTGTCTTCTTCCACAGCCGGGCCAAACTCTTGGTCAGAGTCAAGGGAGGTCCATGGTTTAGGGGTAGCTTTGATCCCAGCCTGATCCTGTGTCTGCTTGCAGGCCATTTACTGTCTTGTGACCTTGGTCTTCTTCTACTCATCTGCCTCATTTTGGGCCTGGGTAAGTGTTCCCCATCCTGGGAAGTGGGTACGCACATAGGGTTAGTGGCTGGCCTTTGATACTCCCACTCTTGTTCTGCAGATGGCCCTGGGCTTTAGTCTGGCAGTATATGGGGCCAGCTACCACTCAATGAGCTCAATGGCACGGGCAGCCTTCTCTGAGGATGGGGCCCTGATGGATGGTGGAATGGACCTCAACATGGAGCAGGGCATGGCAGAGTGAGTGTCCCCCGCCGCCAGCTCAGGTGAGCGGCCCCAGGGCTGTGGTGCTGGGCCCAGATAGCCCAAGACCCACAGCTGCCTGCAGCTTGAAGGGGTGGGAGGTGAATTGGGGCCCATCTACTATTTTTGGCCCCTGCAGTCTCCCTTCTATCCACAGGCACCTGAAGGATGTGATCCTCCTGACAGCCATTGTGCAGGTGCTCAGCTGCTTTTCCCTCTACATCTGGTCCTTCTGGCTCCTGGTGCGTGGGTTGTTGGACTCCCAAGAAGGGGCTGGGGCATCTAACCATTCTCTTCTTTCATTTCCTGAACCTGGCTTCAAGTTACCTTTTCTCTCCTAGGCTCCAGGACGGGCCCTTTACCTCCTGTGGGTGAATGTGCTGGGCCCCTGGTTCACGGCAGACAGTGGTGCCCCAGCGCCGGAGCACAATGAGAAAAGGCAGCGCCGGCAGGAACGGCGGCAGATGAAACGATTATAGCCACTAACATTGTGACCACTGGTTGCTGGGCCTTAGGTGGCTCTATCAGGCTGCATGGCCCCATGCTAGGAGTAACGAGGGCCTAGTCCAGGGGGCAAAAGCAGTCTAAGGCATAGGATTGTTGAATAAATGGCTTAGAATGTGGCTAATGGCTGTGTGATGATGAGGCGTGAGGCAGGAAGAACCAATTCTTTGGTATTTCCCTACTGCTATAGACCTTGAAAGTAGGGGTCTATACCTTGAAAGAAAAAGGCTCTTGGATTGGCTAAGAAAACTTTATTATGCTCCACGTGTTCAGGGAGCTCATACATACACACACACACACACACACAACACAAACACAGATAATACTGCTCAAGGCACTGGCCACTGGGTACAGAGTGACCCCAGGGTTGAGAAGATGCCCAGATTTCTGCTCTGGCCCCTCCTCACTCTATATAGTCTTTTGCATGCAGGCTGTGGCCCAGGTAGATATTCTGGAGGCAGCGGCTTCACACCTCCAGGCCAGGTCCCTTGCTCAGTCCCAGTGCCTGCACCAGGTCTTCTCCAAGTCCGCTCTTCAATGTCCGTCTCACTGCAGGGACAGAGCAGGGTTGGAGGGGATTGCTGGGGATAAAGCAGGCAGCGGGTATGTGGGGAGTACTCACAAGATTTGCGGTTGCCACGGGAACGCTTGCGTTCCCGAGCAGCTAAGGCACGAGGACTGCTCTTGGTCACTGACTGCACCAGCAGGTCCATGATCTCATCTGAAGTGTCACTGGGTGAACTGGAGCCTGGGGATTCTTCTGGGGGTGCATTGGAAGCCCCCACTGCTGTGGGCATTGGGGAGGTGCTCTGGACCAGGCCTGAGAGAGACCAGATGGGGAGGTCAGGCCAAGGTGGCCCCAAAGCGAAATCCGTTCCCCTAGCGGCCACAGGTCCCACCTCTGCTGCGGCGGCTGTGTGTGGCATCTTCAGGCTTACTGGTCAGCAGACTCTTCATGCTGGCGTGACTGTCTGCATCACCCTGGCCTGGCCCACTACCCACAGCCACTGGTACAGACGGGTTGCTGGGGGCTTCCCCAGCCACTCCTGAGAACTTCTCTGTCTGGAGAGGGGAGAATGATGAGCTGGGAGCAAGGGAAGGAAACCATGGGAACGGCAGTCAAAACCTGGAAGGGGCACGCACCTCAGTGATCATGCGTCCCCGGGTCTTGTTGCGCTCACGGTAGGTGGCCCGCTTCTGCTGCTGTTGGAGCACCCGGTCTCGGCAAGTCCGGTACTCCAGCGAAAACTCCAGCAACGTGTGGCAGAACTGCATGATGCGCACTTCACGGGCTGCCTGTGCGGTGTACCCCAGGTACAGCAGGAAGGCGTGGAACCTAGGCAGGTCAGATAGGAAGGGATGGTGAGTCCTACTTGGGGGTGAGGGACAGTGGTGGCGGTCCTGACTCTCGGGCCCACAATCCCACCTGTTGCAGACGCGGCGGTGCACTACTCGCAGCGTGGTAACGCGTCGGGAACAGTGGGCCAGGAACTGGGTGAGGCGGGTACGCAGGGCCGGGGCCAGCTCATGCTTGGCCAAGCTCCGCAGACTCTCCTCAGCTGCACGGCTCCGATGTTCCAGCTGCCCCAGGTTCTCAGCCAGCTGTTCAAAGTCCACCTGGAAAAGCAGGGGGGTACACAGGCTGTCCCCCCACAAGAAGGTACTGCCTGAGGCTGCCTCTGTGCCAGGCCAGTGAGCCAGGCCAGAGGAACACAGAGATCCAACCATTGCCCTCCAAAAGTTCACGGTCTACCACAGGAAACGGACAAGTCCATTTGGTCCAATGGGGAACAGAGAAGGTTTCTTGGGGAGGCGGCAGCTAAACTGAGACCCAAAGACTGAGTAGCGATAGCCAGGCCAATAGAGGGAAGCATTTCTGGCACAAACATCTGTAGCCGAGCCAGCCCTGGCACAGCTGTTGAAATAGGAGGGGAGAAGCCAGCCCCAGGAAGCAGCACTCCCTCATGCCCTGGCCAATGTTATCCAAGCCCCTGGCTGGTGCTAACCTTGGCACAGCGGGTCAGGGCGGGGATTTCTGAGTAGAGGTCGGAGGAATCAGGCCGCATCTGGAGCACCAAGGAGCAGAGATGGTGCAGCAGTGACTGCCTGCGCACGGTGTCCTTCACCTCTGACACTTTCTCCAGGTAGCTCAGCTCAAAGCCACTGCTCTGAAAGGACTTTGTCTGAGCCTGGGCCGGGCTGGCTCCAGAGCCTGGCTCCCAGCCCTCATGTGCTGTCACTCACCTGGGAGCCATTGAGGAAGTTGCCCACAGCCAGAAGGGTGGCCAGGATGCAGCGGAAGGTGGCATTATGCACCAGCTGTTCCATGCCCACTTTTAGGTCAAACAGTGGCTCTGCGATTTCCTGGTGTGGGAGGCCAGGGACTCAGACTACATGGTCATCATACTCATCTGCCCCCACTGCCTGTCCCACCCATGACCCAGGTACCCGTTCCATGCTGTCATAGTCCAGCTTGAAGGCCCAGAGTTGTAGGCGGGCAGCCAGGCCCCCGATGGAGGCAAGAGTCATCAGGAAAGTCTCAGCTGGGGCCAAAGGTATGTCAGGATTGGCCAGTTGGGCCTCCTGGATCTTCTGCCGCTCCTCTTCCGTGGGCATCATGGTCAGTAGTTTCTGAGGACACAACCACCACCCCATACAGGCCAGTAAGTGCTGGCCTGAGGCCTCAGGTGTTGGTCTTGACTCCCCCTAGGCCAGTGGTTCTCAACCTTCTGGCCCTTTAAATACAGTCCCTCATGTTGTGGCCCAGCCATAAAATTATTTTCGTTGCTACTTCATAACTGTAATGTTGCTACTGTTATGAATTGTAATGTAAATATCTGATATGCAGGATGGTCTTAGGCGACCCCTGTGAAAGGGTCATTCGACCTCCAAAGGGGTCTTGACCCACAGGTTGAGAACCGCTGCCCTAGGTTATCTGGGGGAGATCTGGGGGAGCCCCAGGGTCTGGGGACTGCTATGCCAAGCCCCTGCCCACTACTAGAGGGTCAGGAAATGCTCACTGACCAAAGGAGAGGGCTGGACCTCCCACTCCCTTCCACACCCCCAGCTGGCTATCCCTACCTCAATGCCGTCCTTGCTGACAGCAAACTCATCGAAGTTGACCAGGGCAGCCTTAATGACATGCACCGGTGGCAGTGTGGTTAGACCAATGTTGATAGCGTTGCTGCGCTTGGGGTCCAGCACTGTGGTCATTGTCCGGCGGCCCTCACCAGCTTTCTTTGAGGTTGAGGGAAGGAGAGTATAAGTTTGGGAAAGGGACTAGCTGGGGCAACAACCTAAGAGGACACTTCAAGGGCCCCCTCCAAATGGTGTGGTCACCCCACAACTGGGGATGGACCTGGGATGTTTAAAGCCTTGGGATGAGCTTAGATACCAGTTAGGGCTGTGCTGATCCCTGTTGGGACCTCAGACAAGTCCCCGCTCCTCTCTTTGCCTCGCTTTCCCCACGTGGGAAATGAGCGGCAGCCCCAGTAGTTAGGACCCTTGAGCTCTGATTCCCTCCCCTCGCCACTGGGGTTACCTTGCAGATGAGGGTGCGTTTACCTTGGCAGGTAATACGTCCTTGGCACGGGACTCAAACAGGTGTTCCAGCCGGGCTGTGTCCACGGAGACAGGCTCCAGGGAGGCCCACAGGGTGGAGCAGGGCCCAAAGCGGCTCCCAGAGCTTCCATGGCCCCCAGCCAGCTTTAGCTCCCGCCAGAAGAGTTTGATTGTCTTCCTCTTGGTGGGGAGGGCTAGGCCATCAGGCGCTGATGGGGGAAGAGGGGCAGCTGGCAGTGGTGGAGGTGGTGGTAAGGGGCCTTTGATAGGTGGGGGAGGTGGGGGTGGAGGAGGTGGGGGGCCTGGGGAGAGCAAGGGCAG